CCCCCCCCCCCCCCCCCCCCTGTCACTAGATAGTTTCAGGGGCGTAGCATTAGGGCGCAATGCTGCTTCACAGATCTGCATAACTGTACTGGATGGTGGTCTTGCTTTTTTGATGGCCTGAAACACCCGCAGATTTAAAGTGCAGCAAAATTTCAAAATGGCGACCGATTCAGAGAAGAATTTCCTTGTGTGTAAGCTCTGAATTAAACGTAAAAGAATCTAGCTCTGGCCTCACAATATGACGCTAGGTGGAGGGCCAGAGGATGTCTCTCAAAGGAAGAAAATTTTGGCTGAAAAGCTATCAAAGGTAACAAGGTTTAGGTCAATTTTTAATGGCTGTCAAATTGTGAAAATTTCCCTCTGTTGCTGCACTCTGTTTGATTGCTGGAACTATATTGATAAATAATATATACTTTTATTTCTGTACAGGAGCAAACCAATTTATCGTTCCTCGAGGAAAGCCTCACTAAAAGTGAACAATTGACACAAAACATGGTATGTTTTGGAAATGGTAATTTGCCTGTTTTGGCAAGGCAAGGCTGTCTTGTGGCTTGCAGGATTGGGTGTATGATGCTTTACCGTGCATAATACATTGCAACTAAGGCCTGTTTATTATATAAAGTATAGTGCTTTATAGAGATTTCGAGCACTGATAAAACTGATAATCTCACATGTAAGATTATTTATGATAATTTCATATGTGAAAATTATCGCTTTTCAGTTATCACTTTTCAAAGACTGTCCTTTATATAATAAATGGAGAATACATGGGTGCTTGGAAATACCAGAATTATTTCGAGTGTTGAACATGATATCTCACTCGTGAGATATCATGTTCAACACGAGAATTTGATTTATTTTAATCAGGCAGATTTATTTCTCGTGTTGAACATGATATCTCACTCAACACTTGGAATAATTCTGGTATTTCCAAGCACCCATGTATTCTCTATTTCAAACGCCGTGCTTGACATGTGCAGAATACATTAATGTATGGCATATGAAACAGGCCTAACTCCAATCATCCGTAAAAACCAGACTGAAATATTTCACTTTGCACAGAAATTATTCTTTAGAAAATTGTGCAGAAATGTCAGACATATTCACAGAAAATTTACGCCAGACCAAGGGATCTTGCAGTCACAGTATTTTTGTCAAATAGATCAGAAATCTGCTTGGTTTTTAGTTCACAAATGCATTTTGTGCAGATTCTTCACAAACTATTTGCAGTTTATTACAATTTGCAAAACTTTGCACAGAAATTATTCTTTAGAAAATTGTGCAGAAATGTCAGACATATTCACAGAAAATTTATGCCAGACCAAGGGATCTTGCAGTCACAGTATTTTTGTCAAATAGATCAGAAATCTGCTTGGTTTTTAGTTCACAAATGCATTTTGTGCAGATTCTTCACAAACTATTTGCAGTTTATTACAATTTGCAAAACTTTGCACAGAAATTATTCTTTAGAAAATTGTGCAGAAATGTCAGACATATTCACAGAAAATTTATGCCAGACCAAGGGATCTTGCAGTCACAGTATTTTTGTCAAATAGATCAGAAATCTGCTTGGTTTTTAGTTCACAAATGCATTTTGTGCAGATTCTTCACAAACTATTTGCAGTTTATTACAATTTGCAAAACTTTGCACAGAAATTATTCTTTAGAAAATTGTGCAGAAATGTCAGACATATTCACAGAAAATTTATGCCAGACCAAGGGATCTTGCAGTCACAGTATTTTTGTCAAATAGATCAGAAATCTGCTTGGTTTTTAGTTCACAAATGCATTTTGTGCAGATTCTTCACAAACTATTTGCAGTTTATTACAATTTGCAAAACTTTGCACAGAAATTATTCTTTAGAAAATTGTGCAGAAATGTCAGACATATTCACAGAAAATTTATGCCAGACCAAGGGATCTTGCAGTCACAGTATTTTTGTCAAATAGATCAGAAATCTGCTTGGTTTTTAGTTCACAAATGCATTTTGTGCAGATTCTTCACAAACTATTTGCAGTTTATTACAATTTGCAAAACTTTGCACAGATTTTCATAGTCGCAAGAACCTTTGTGTAAGAAATTGATTTCCTCCAAAGCCAAAACTTTGCAGTCTGGCTTGGTTGTTTCTAGGCAAGTAAATGCAGACTACATTCTTATTCAATTCATGGTAATAGCAGATGATGCAAATTTCCTGACAATGAATTCAATCTGTGTGATTTCAGCTTGGCATCCTGTCATCTTTTGACAGCCGCCTCAGTAAACTAGAGGGAAACATTCTGCCTGTTCATCGAGAAACTGTTGAATTACAGAGAATGCAGAAAAGTATCCTTAGATGATGTGCATAAGGGAAGCATCAGATATACAAAAAAAAACATTGTGGTCAAGTTTATTGAAGGATTTGTTTTGAAAGATTTGTGAGATTCAGAGCATTTCATCAATATTTTTTACTTTTTTAATTGAGTGTTTTGAAGCATATATTTCAGAAAAACACATCATGCCTACAAATCCCTCCCTCCCAGATGTCATATTGCCATCTTTTTGGTAGAAACAACTCTTCAATTATTTATGCATTGAGCTGCAATGAGTTTATATTACTGGTACATTTCTAGACATTTACAATGTTTAGCAAACATAATTGTTTATAAATTATCAAAATTGAAATCCATATTATTAGTTGTGATGGCACATGTTTTGACTTACAGTATTTTATCTCACAAAGATACTATAATCAAATTAGTGTATCTTTACATATAAGCAGTTGTTTTTTGTTTTTAAACCTAAAATGTAATAGTCTTAACCCAGTTGCATGGTGCCAGTACTCTCCCCTTGATGAATAAAATCATCTGGCATTAGGAATATGGTAATTTCTTTGTTTGTGACTTACATTCATGAGTTGTAGTTGTGCACATAGTACCTGTAGTTTCTTGAACTGTCTATCAGATATTGATAAAGTGTTGCGTGGCTTGGATAATGTCATTAGTTATCATAACGTTGCTTCCAGTGAAGATCAAGATATCAGAGATGGGTTAGTACATGTTTCCACATTGTTAAACTATTCAAAGTTATTTTTTCTTCATGAGGCTTGCCTTATTGACTCATGTTTTAGCCTGCCTGCATGTCATAACTTGTGTTTGTCTTTATTTTAATGCAAGACCTGGTGCAGATGTGGACAGTTACTTACGAAGCTTAGAAAGAGTTCAAGATGCCATTGAGTTCTTTGAAAGAAACAATCCTAACAGTCCTGAGTTATCTCTCCTGGTGAGTTTGAACAACAACAACGACAGCAGTAAAATCAACAGAAACAATAGTAGCAACAACAACAACAAAGAACAACAACAACAGCAACAACAACAACAACAACAACAACAACAACAACAACAACAACAACAACAAAGAACAACAGCAACAACAACAACAACGAAGAACAACAACAACAGCAACAACAACAACGAAGAACAAGAACAACAACAAAAACAACAACAACAACAACAACAGCAACAACAACAGCAACAACAACAACAAAGAACAACAGCAACAACAACAGCAACAACAACAGGATCAATAACAACAACAACAACAACAGCAACAGGATCAACAACAGGATCAACAACAGCATTAACAACAACAGCAACAGGATCAACAACAGCATCAACGACAGAATCAACAACAGCATTAACAACAACAGCAACAGGATCAACAACAGCATCAACAACAGCAACAGGATCAACAACAGCATTAACAACAACAGCAACAGGATCAACAACAGCATCAACAACAGCATCAACGACAGGATCAACAACAGGATCAACAGGATCAACAAGAGGATCAACAGGATCAACAACAGGATCAACAACAACAATAGTAGCAACAACAACAACAATGACAACAATAATAACAACAGCAACAACAAACAATAGTAACACCAACAACAACATCAACAATTGACAAAAAACACAAAATAAGCTTTTTAACAAGTTGAATGAGAACAAAAACAACAACGATCATATGAGCAATAATTACATAAGCTTCAACTTTAGTTATTTTGTTTCCAGACATCCTTGATGGAAACAGGTCGGGAGCAAATGGAAAGATCTTTTAGAAATTTATTAACTCGAAGCAGCAGTCCTGTAACAGCAAACACGTTGCTAGACATATTGAATGCAGGAGAAGGTAGCAAATCTATCTAATTTTTACAAATTTATTGCAGCTCATAGATTACTTTGAAGAAAAATATTCACTTGTCATATTTACATAATATTTGTGTTTTACTCTTAGAGATTCAAGAAGGAGAAGCAGGACCTCAGCTGAAGCAAATAAATGGTATTGTATAGTTTGCTAGCTAATACTACCAGTGCATCGGTTTAGGGGCAGTTCAACCAAAATTTTCTTTAGGTGCATTTTTTCCAGATAAAGCAGTGGGGAAAAGTGTGCTTTTCTAACTATTTGAAACACAAGCAGGAGTGCTTTATCAGATATAAAACGTCTAATTTCTCCTTGTATTTTTTTTTCTGTGTTGGTGTTGTGCACTCAGGTGAATATGATGTTTGTGATGTTACTCTGAGTGTATATCCACCACACCGGACGAGCTTGAAAAATATGCCCGGCCACGGTGGGAATCAAACCTACGACCTTTAGAATACTAGCCCAATGCTCTGCCAACTGAGCTACGCGGTCAGGTCGGTTCAAGTAAGTGATATTTCGGAACAGAATCTAGTTCCTTCGATACCAATGTAATCTAGTAATATGATTTCTTCTTGTATTTTTCCTTACCAACAAAAGCTTGTATACATGCATGGGTATATACTGTTAAAATAAAACAAATAATTTATATTGTTTCTTTCATCAATCTTATCAGATGAAGTGATTGATGATTTAAGCAAGATTGCTACATGGTTGGTTCAGGAAACGAAGAGTAATGGTCAGTTTGTTAGCTTTTGTGAATATGAACATTTCAGCCAGTCAATAACTGAGCTCACCCAAATAGACCAGAAAGTCTTGGCTATAGAGCCAAGATTGTGATGTCAAGATTGTGATTAGATATCTGCTTTAGAGACGTCCTTTACCTTGTTGGCGATGATCATATTCTATACAGATCTTTTTATCATTGTACACATTGTACACATAGGTGTACAACATATGGGGTGGTGCTGTCTGCTGGCTGAGTACTGTCTAGAAGACTGTATTACGTTGTTTTTGTTTTTTAGATTTTCTGAATGTATATGTACAAATTAGGTCCAATATGTTGGACAAAACTTTACAAGGGTAGGTTTTAACATTTATTTATATATATATTTTGATTTACCTCAAAAAACCACAACAGTCTGTTTCATCCGTATAGGATGAAACAAATTGTTGAAACATATGGATGAAACAGACTGTTGTGGTTTTTTTGAGGTAAAACAAAACATGTTTTGTAAACCAAACACAAACAGTGCTCAATACCATATAGATAGAGCATAATATAGTTTTTCGTTTTACCTCAAAAAACCACAACAGTCTGTTTCATCCGTATATATATATTTTAAGTTGTGTAATTGTACACTCCGTAATATGTTAAAATGAAAATGTTCTAGAGTATGTATTATATAATTTCCATACCCAGCGCAAGCAGAAAGATGTTGTCTGCCGCGGCTGGTTGCAGGTTCAAGACCCAGCCGCTGCAGACAACATCTTTCTGCTTGCGCTGGGTATGGAAATTATATAATACACACTCTAGAACATTTTCATCTTAATTTATATATATATATATATATATATATATATATATATATATATATATATATATATATATATATATATATATATATATATATATATACAGGGTGTATCAAAAAAAGCGCAATCCTCGATTGAAATGTAAATTGCTAAACAAATAATAGACGAAAACGTTAAAGTTTACATTCATTTTAAAGCGTAGCCATTCAGCTTTCTAACAGTGGGTTGCTTCTTAAATTTGACTCATTGGTTCGCGGGTAATAATACTTTACGTTATTGCGATTGGAGATTAAAAAAATTGAGATGGAATAACAAATCGTTCTCATGAAAATAACTGATTTTTCATTAAAACAAAAAAATGTTGCATTTTATTAAATGGATTGTAACAATAAGTATAATTACGGCTTTTCTTCCACTATTTTTAACTCAGTTTGAAACTTCAAATGCGATATAATTTTGGCTTGGACCATCTAAGCTGACTGACATCAACTTGCTATAATTTCTGTTTACATTACATCGCAATTCGATGACATTCTCTTATATATATATATATATATATAATTATATATATATATATATATACTGTATATATGTGAGTGCTTCCAGTTTGACTCAGCGGAGCTATTCTGGTTTCCTTCTAAACTTGATTTTGATGAATGACGCTTGACCTCCATAGAAAACATGAGAATGATATAGTTAAAGGGTATTTGTGGTGTTTTTTACAGATTGATTGAGGCTCATTCTCAAGGAAAAGTAGAGAGTTATTCACCAGCCAATATTGTAAGTTGAACTTTAGTTTGTTCTGATTTGTGTTCATAATCTTGTATTGAAACAAAATGTGTGTTTACTTTAAATATTGGAAGATATTGGTAAAGTCAAACGTCATTAGTAATTTTGTTAATTTGCTTATGTTTATTCAGGTGGTAAATACAACCAAGATAAAACATACAACAGGTAACCAGGGGCGGAACTTGAGGGGGGTATGGGGACACGTGGCAGATTAACCTTATGTCTTAAATTGCAGGCACTGCTCCACAAAGGAAATCTACGTTGAAAAGAAGTGTGGTACGTCGAGTGCCATCTAAAACCTATGAATATGGTAAAATATATTGTTGCTTGACGTATGAATAAGTTCCAATTGTTGCATGTATCGTATTTGGGAAATATTTGGGATCAGTTTTGCATACTTCACAATGTAGCTTGGCTTAGCCAGTGATTTCAGCTATAGACTAAATTATGCCACAGCTAGAAAGAGTGTTTTCGAATGAGTAGAACTGCAAAGATTGGCTGCTAAATATTGTAAAATGAAGAAAATATAGCCCTGTGAAGTTCGCAAATTTTGTATATATTTGTATTACGCGCGGTAAAAATAACCACTATCGGCTCAAAAGTGGTTATTTTTCCCGCGCGTAATGCGAATATATACAAAATGTGTGAACTTCACATGGCTGTATTTTCCTCATTTTACAACAATTCGCAACCAAACTTTGCCATTTGGTGATGGATTTCGTTCTTGTCTAGATGAAACTGGAATCATTCATTGATAATGAGGTTGGATGAGTTTTGAAAAGAATTTGTGTATTTTAGGAGGAAGTAGAAAGATTGGATCTCCCGCTCCAATGTTCGACTCACCTGGTCAGAAGGAGGAGGAAGAGTAAGAGAAATCTCCCAATTTTTCTCTCCAAAACCATCATTGATATCATCGCGATTGAAGTTTACAATATGTTAATATCCGGAGTGTGTTTCGTCTTATATATCGTGAAATTGTGTGTTTGTCAAGGATTTTTGACGCAGTTACTTTGATGAAATAAAATGTTCATCATCATCATTAACCCATGGAGTGACAGCCCTTTTACCTTGACGAGTAAAATCGTTCAAGTCTCCTCTTTTACACCTAAAACAATCTTGTACTTACCGTTTTTAGTGAAATTGAAGCAGGCCGATTAATAACACTTTGTGGTGCTCTCCTGAAACTGTTGCAGGTATTTATTGTTTAATCCTTTATTTCAAAATCGTCAACTTTCTTTCACTCTCTATATTTCTAACTATTTCTCCTTTTATTCCATTTTCCAATCCGAGTTCACATCATCAATCTTTCATCTCACTATTGAAATCTTCAGGTCCGGTGTTTCCAGGCTCAGTTCTTGTTCAGGGTTCAAGTTGCGTAAATTTATAGTTTTTCCTGCACATATCAAATTTGAGCACGAACATTTCAATTCTGTGGTCGGATTGGAAAATTAAGTGGCACATTATTTTTACAGCAAAAGATTATATTTTAGAGTGAACAAAGTCTTATTGAAGTTATTATTCCTGAAAATCATCAAAATAACATCTTTGATGTGTTGATTCAGAGCTCGATGGAAACACTGGTGTTCGAAGGAGAGGTTCGTTGGATTCTTACAAGTTCTACAATTCTGATGATTATTGATTTAGTGTCAGAAGCTCATGATACAAACAGACAAGCAAGGTTTCCCTAACAAGTTTTATCTGCTCGTGTGTTCGGCAAAAGGAGCCTTGTTCCAAAGCTAGTCATGCCAGGTTTTGGCCAAGGAAAACTTGACAAATGCACACGAAATACTTCTATGGTTTTGGCAAACGAAAGGCGGCTTTGACGTGAAATAAATGTTTAACAATTTTCCCTGCACACGAGAAAGTAAACTTGTCCAGGAAATCTTGTTGACAGTACACATGAGAAAGTAAACTGGTCAAGGGAAACTTGTCAAGGAAATCTTGTTGACCGTACTGTACGTACTGTATACACACGAGAAAGTAAATTCGCCAAGGAAAACGTGCTCTTCTGCTCGAACATATACTGTAATTTTGCGTAGATTTAAGCGAGCTGTATATATTGTTTTATGTAGGGTATGGCAAACTCAGCTCGGAAATTGATCGCGAGGCGAGAATATTTTTCACTTCTTCCTTTGCTGCCAGTTCTCAAATATCTTGGATCTGTTCTCATCAAGTTTTCACTAGTTTTAAAGGTATGTAAGACCGTATACGCATCGGGAGACGGGGCTGGACCAATCAGATGTGTTTGATATATCCAATTAACCAATCGGATGTGTTTGATATATCCGATTAACCAATCAGATGCGTTTGATATATCCGATTAACCAATCAGATGCGTTTGATATATCCGATTAACCAATCAGATGCGTATACTAAGCCAGTGAGAGATGGTGGTGAAATCTGAACCTCTATTGTCTGTGTGTCGCCACTATCCTTATGGAAGTGCAATATTTTTATTATCTATATCTTAAGGGTGTTCGTCAGGCAACGCAGGCCACTATAACAAGTCTTTTCATGAATTTGGAAGTTGTGGTGAGTAGAGTTTAAGTTGTACAAGTACTTTTCACAACATGAGCGGACCGTGAAACGTCTTGATGAGAACATTCGTATTCTTCAACAATTTCAAATAAATAAATGATATTTGTTTAAAGATATTTGATATTTATTTAACTTAAAGTTTATGTAAATCAACATGATTTTGTATCAGATATACAAAATCCTTCACGCTCATGATTTCTTTTGTGTTTTTTTCGTGAATTATTAATGAGTTTCACAATGAGTTTTGCACCATGGCCTAACCCTTGAACAATTGAAATTGTTTCTTATAGGGGGCGAAAGCTCTGGAAGATTTTACTGAGAATATAAAGGTTAGTCTTTATTGTATAAACATGAACAATGTTTGTAATATTTTCTTGTTTGTACACTACAAACTTTGCTAGCAATATGAATCAAGTTGTTATCAGCTTGTTACAAGGTTGATGACGGTAACAGACTTGCTACAAGTTGTTCCAACAACATTAATATAGACTGTTCGTAACAAGTTGCTACGAGCTTGTCGTCATCAATTTGTTAACAAACGATATCAAACATGTTGGAACAACTTGTTGCGAGTCTGTTGGCCTCATCAACCTTGCTACAAGATGACAACTTGTTCCAGACAACAAGCTGTGACATTTTTACCCGTGTAAATAGTAATGTTCCTTTATACTTCTCTGTATTTTCACTACAGCACGATCCAGACAAGCAGTCAAATATGCCAAAAGATGGAACAGTTCACGAGCTTACCAGCAACGTATGTTGTGCACCATTATATATCATTTCTTTTGGTCTCCCCTTTATCACAGTACGTATTATGCCACTGGTCATGTATCAATTATTGCATAAATAATTTTTTACGTCAACCTACTTTAGACGCTGATATTTTTGACGCATTTGCTCAGCTATACTGACACTGTGGGAAACATGCTCAATTCTCAAGGTAAGAGAGTCATGGAGATCTTGCGCTTGAGACCAGATACATGTCTGGACACCATCTTTGAGGAAACTGACTCGGTGTTAAACACTTACGCCTGTGTTCTGAAAGCTCACTCACACTCAAAGAGTGGAGGTTCAATCTGATCTTCTCTTGAGTGTCAATGCTGTCTTTGAATAGCTGGAGAGTGAGTAGTCGCATGGTAAGGTATGACACTAACCATCCAGCTATTCAAAAACAGCATTGACACTCAGGGAAGCTCAGATTGAACCTCCACTCTTTGAGTGTGAGTAAGCTTTCAGAATACAGACTTGAGTCAGTTCCCTCAAACGTTTCTTATAAATCCTTCAAAACTTAGAATTTACCTATGCAAAATTCCTACTGTGATCACAGAAACTTTGATCTGTTTGTCGGGAATGACTAAATGTTTCCCGTTAACATTGAACCCGAATGCTTTTTCTTTTCCAATTTTAGATCAAGTGATAGATCCGCGTACAAGTGAGGTGGAGTCACCGAAAACAACTGTTGCTAAATATATCTGTGAGTCACCATAACAAAATATTTTAAACAAAACAACTATGATTGTTTACGACCAGCACCACCACCACCTTCATTATCACCATCACCACCATTATCACCACCACCACTGTCACCACCACCATTATATCACCACTATCACCACCATCATCACCACTATCACCACCACTATCACCACCACACTATCACCACCACACTATCACCACCACACTTTCATCTCCACCACCATCATCGTCACCATTAATCACCACCATCACCATTGACCATCGTCATCACCATTGACCATCGTCATCACCATTGACCATCGTCATCACCATTGACCATCGTCATCACCATTGACCATCGTCATCACCATTAATTAGCATTTTCCTAAAAGAGATCACAGTGGATTCTAGGATTGTTTGGAGGGACAAAATATATGGTGACAGGCGTCAAATATGTGCAAGAGTAGAACTATCTACTATTTCAAATATCAACTTTTTCGATGACCAAAAATGAAATATTTCCTTTGTACATTAAACATTTAATTTAAATGTGCGATGCCATATTTCTTGTCCCTCCAACATGGGATTCGCCAGGACTTTGGGAAATGGCTAATTCATTAACAAGATATTTTCTGTTTCTTAAGCTCGTGTCCTCGGAGCTCTGGGATTGAATCTTGAACTAAAATCGAAAAGTTATGTTCACATCGCCGGGCAACCGGCTTTATCAGGAATATTCCTACTCAACAATTATAACTATATTTTGAAAAGACTTCAAAGGTAGGTTACTATTAACTTTTTAATCTTTCGATTTATAGATTTATATTCACTTTTTAATCTTTAATCGATTCTCATCAACTCGGAACAAGTTTAAGCTGGTTCAAATTTTGATGAGACTTGATGAGAGTTTTCGCTACGTGCACGGTAATATCCAGTCAACTCTCATGCAACTCTTGTTCTCGTTTGACCGGGGCATGAGAGTTGAGAAAAGTCTCGTGCAAACTCTCGCTTCTCAACTCTCATCAACTCTCATGCAAACTCTCGCTTCTCAACTTTCATTAACTCTTATGCAACTCTTGTTGTCGTTTGACCGGGGCATGAGAGTTGAGAAAAGTCTCGTGCAAACTCTCGCTTCTCAACTCTTCTCAACTCTCATGCAACTCTTGTTTTCATATGACCGGGACTTAAGAATAACGATGTTTTTCTATGAATTTAGTGTGTTTATATGATAACATGCTATATACAATGTTGTTTGTAGGACTGGGGTTTTATTACTCATGAGCGAAGGGGGTTCCATTGAGATTGAAAGTCAATACATGAAACTTATTGAAGAACAGAAAGTTAGTTACCGGAAAGGGTACGTAAAAAGTACTTGAGACAAATGCTATCAATGGGCGCGTAACACTTTTAGCATCCATGTTCCCCATTCACTCATTGTTTTCAAGTCACCTTTATTTTTCAGTTGGAATAAGGTTATGAGCTACCTACTAGAGACGGACAAGCCGTTCACTCAGAGTAAAGATGCCAAAGTGAGTCATTGTGAACCTTAGTTGAACTAATTCGACATAACCGGAGACTTTATTTACTCTATATATTCTAGGTTGGTCAAAAGCAAAAACAACTTATTAAAGATAAATTCAAGGTAAGATGTTCGTATGATGTTTGTGATGTTACTCTGAGTGTATATCCACACCGGGCGAGCTTGAAAAATATGCCCGGCCACGGTGGGAATCGAACCTACGACCTTTGGAATACTAGCCCAATGCTCTGCCAACTGAGCTACGCGATCAGGACGGTTCGAGTAAGTGATATTTCGGAACAGAATCTTGTTCCTTCGATACCAATGTAATATAGTAATATGATTTTTTCTGTGTTGGTGTTGTGTACTCAGGTGAATGTTCGTATGTTCAAAGACAAAAGTTTGACTCGATCAATCACCCTAGGTTTTCGTCGACCTTCTTGGTTAATCTGGTTCTCTTTCTTTACAGACGTAGCACCCTTGGCCCAAAAAAAGAAAGGCCCTTACTGGACCTCTAGGAACGACAGTTTACAGAGCCAGTTATCCAGTATAACTAGAGTTAAACTCGGACGGTTTTTTCCGACGGAAAATATGTCGGCCAATCATGTTTTACAAAATTTTCTTTCTGCGGAAAATGTTTCTGAGTGAAAATGGCCCTTTACTGAAGTTGTTAAGGCAACTGATAAAACTCTCCAATATAAATCAATTTAGTTTAGGTTTCTTGCTGCAATTCCACTGGACCAATAAGGAACGGCCGTTACTGCACCTCTAGGAAGAACAGTCAAAGTTCGACTATCCCCGAATATGATTTTTGGTTTGTGTAGTATTTGGGTCATTCTAAGAAGAAATGTAATATATCTTCATTGTAAAAAAATTCATCTTGACCAACTTTTTCACGGTCAAAATTTCCGGATATGATGTCATTAGGTGAATTTTTGGAGCAAAAAAACAAAGGAAAAGTAATTTGCAATTCACCTAATGACATCATATCTGGAAACTTTGACAGTGAAAAAGTTGATCAAGATGGGATTGTTTATTATAAAGAAATATTACATTTCTTCTTCGAATGACCCAAATATTACACATGCAGAAAATCATACTTGTGGTTATAGTCTATTTATAACTTAGTTTTATTTACTACTCCGCGGATGGAGCTATCCATGCAGTGTATATAAAGAAAGTAATTCACCAATATTTGTCATTTCAGGGTTTTAACAGTGAGTTTGAAGACATCTGTCAAACACAAAAGACGTATGCTGTACCAGATGAAAAACTGAGAGATCAATTACGTCAAGAGAATATAGATTCAATTGTACAAACTTACCGCGCTTTTCAAGAGAAGTAAGCAACAGTTATGGCACCACTACATTACAGTGTATAAGCATCACCAATACACCATCATCATTTACTGTACCATCATGATCAACACCACCATTATCATTATCATCATCACTATTATCATCATCATCACAATATTTGGAACCACAACGTTTGTCACCAGTAATATTACCATCACCATCATTATTTACTATACCATCATGATCAACACCACCATCATCATCATCATCATCATCATTATCATCCTTTGGAACCAAAACTCTATTTGGTACCAATACTGTCAACAGTAATATTACCATCATTATCACCATCATGATTACTAACTTTATTTATTTTTACTAAATAGCTAGATCAGTTCTAAAAGCTGTTCTCTCTATAGAGTCAAACTGGAAGCACTCTTTTTACATGCGTCTGAGGCGAATAGCTATCAAACAACTGCATATTGTAGAATTGAACCTCGTTTACAGAGGCGAAAAGCACATGAATTGACCATCATCACCATCATTACTCCTTTTGAAGTTAAGCAGCATTCACATTGGTATATATTTTAGACACATCAATCCGCCAATCTATATTTGTTTCAGATACACGGCTATACAATTCACAAAGAACGTAGAGAAATACATCAAGTATACACCAGAAGAAGTTGAGAAGCAATTGTCAACTCTGTTTGATTTATCGGCTTGAATTCGGAACTCATCTATCCTGGAGCCGAGGTGTCAAGTGAGTAAAATTCGGCAACTCGTCCTTTGAACAGTGTTCAGAGATCGTATGGATTTATAGAAAACCAGAAAATGAATAATCCACAAATTGTAAATAATTTGCAAATGTTTAAAATGAATAAGGAATAATAGATTTCGCTCCCACCACTGTTCAATGGTTTTTTTTTTCTATTTTCTTTGTATGACGGTTCTGGTCAGCTCATGAAAGATTTTCTGGAAAATAGATTGATCTGGAATGTTGCATCTATAGCGAGCGATAATTGAAACACGTTATGGCTTGTTATTTCATTATCTTTTATTTAGTTAAACTAAGGTTATGTTCACACTATATAGCTTGGACGATTTGGGAAGCGAACGCCGAGCTTCGTCCTATTTGACTTGTTCTCACGGAGTTTGATCGGTTTATAGCTGTCCTCGAATACATCTGGCATCATATGTTCACACACAAATTTAAGGACCGTGTGAAGTCCCCTAGCTCCGTGTTAACGACATTAAGAACTAGTTTTGTACAAACTCAAGGTATAAATACCAACGCTGAAATTGTTCTATTACTTATCACTATATTTACAGTAATATTTACATCAGGCAAAAATATCATCATCGTCATCTCCTTCGAATATATCCGTGCTTGCTTTTACCTCTGTTGGACTAAGACCTGCCAGAATTCTGAAAATGAAAACGTTTTTCTTAGAATTTTCAAGTTTCTACGAAATATGAAAAATTTCTGAGAATTGTGAAAGTTTTATGAATTACGAGAAATTTTTAAAAATTTGAGAAGGATTAAGAAAAAACACCCTTATGGGAATTGTTAATAACTGTGTAAGAGAAATTTCTAAGATCTTGGGTCGCAAAATCATCTGAATTATGAAAAGTTCTAAGAATTAATAGGTGAAACTTGCCTGCGCTTAGAGAAATGTTTTCGTTCCGTTTCTCGAAATAAGCTGCACATCGGCTGTTCCTGAAATACACAACGTATCGGTGAGCAAGGGGTGAGTAGTGGGGTGGAACAAAAGGGACGACCCTCTTGTACCACCTAATGCGGTCATAGTATGGTTATTATTAATCGAGACTGATTAGGAACTTCGAAAATATTCATACTACGTTTATAGACAGGGTGTATATAAAGTTAATTTTGTTGTACTTACTTTTTCTTCATTGCTTTCTTTCTTTTTAACCGCTTTCCAAATAGAAGTGGTATCTCCAAATAATGCCGGCCAAACATTTCTCTCTTGTGATGGCATTTCTTCGTCTTCGGATGACTCGCTTTCCTTCTCTTGTGCTTGTTGCTCCACCACTAACGTATGTTCCCAAATAGAGTTAAATTCATCCGAAGCTGGCCACGCACCAAGTTTCGGTAGGGAAGATCCAGGATTCTCGAAATTTTCAGAATTATCGGAATTTTCAGATTTCTTGGAATTTTCAGAATTCTCGGAATTTTCAGATTTCTCGGAATTTTCCATCGAGGACTCAGGTGACTTAAGAATAGGCAGAATATCGGAAAGGGGTTTTGAGAATCGTACTTTCTTGCCACTGCTCTTGTTGGGGTGTGGGGAGATTTTCTGAGGGTGGTGGCGTGGGGGTGATTGATAAGAGGGGCTCACCTCTGTACCATCACTGCCTTGGGAAAAGTTACCTTTGAAAGAGCGAGTTATATCATGGTTAAACAGAATATACCATTAATCTTAGCAAGTGTGCTTACGAGAGGCATTCACCCCCTGAACGTCCACCATTTTGAATGCTTTCAGGGGGGTGAATCCCTAGCCCATTTCATATTGAATGTTCAAGTTTACATAAGCAATTACTCTCTGTTTATATTAAAATGCATTAACTGTAATATTACAGGCTTTGAAAAGCTTCCCCAACGGCAAACCCGTCTCGTATATTTCTTGTCGTCAAATCTACGACAAAAAATTGACACGTTTGCCTGAACAAAGTTGCCGTTGTTTAAAGACTTTAAAGCCACTGTTAAAGCCGGTCTAGTAGAAACATTGCTCGTCTCTTGCACACGAGTTTTAATATGTGCCTATAACTAAAATGGTACTAACTATAAATACATTAAATTTATATCTAAAACTACCCACCATTATTGAGTTTTGTAAGCGGCGGGCTTCCCCAGTCATCCTTCTTTTCTGGCGAAAAACGTTCCCAAGTTGACAAAATTTTTGCTCTAATTTGCTGATAACTTAAAAAAGGAAACCTTTCTTGCATTATTCGCCTTTGCTGATCAAAATACGCTTTGTATTTGGGATGTTTTTGTCTTTTTCGCCCCATAATGAGGAAAGTTGGAAAATTTGTTTTCTTTTTCCCGACGACGAAGCATTTCCCGCCAAACGAAGCTCGCGCGCGATATGTATGCACGCGAGGAACTGAATATTAATGAGCATTTAAATAAAGAATTTTTTATACGTTGCGTGTAAATTGAAAGTAAAAATCACTTTTTGGCACGTTTTACAAAATATTTAACGGGTTTGATCTATATCGTGCATAGGTTACAAGCCTTAGGGAATTAGTGTACTTTTATGGTGTTATATTCCAATATTTTTCATTAGGTATTGAGTTGCTAGGCCGCCATTGAGTAACAATATTTATCACTCGATTTACTACGACGTTTACGTTGAATACGTGGATCACCTGCAGTTATTGTGCAATCCATGTTTTGGCGCACTTGGAATAAATTATCATATATCAACATGTTCTGCCACCTGATTGGTCAATAGCTATGCCCTTGGCCTGTTTAAACCTCAGACTGACCAATCAGAGGGTTTGTTTTTGTCAGGCGTTCGCCAGGTAAACAAAAAATCTTGACGTCATTGTTTTTGTGCTATTCGGGCAGCGTGTTTCTCTGTCGCGGTGAATTCACGACTTGTAATTTCTGTGTAAAAGCTTCGTTTTCGCTTTCCTCGACAAAATGGACGCTCTTCGACAACAAGCAATGATAAATCAGTTCGTGAACGTCGCCGGTTGTGCTGTAGATCAAGCGAAGAAGCTTTTACAAGCGGGAAATTGGCAATTCGAGGTGAGCGAATGTGTTTGTTTTGGTCCGGCCATGATGTCTTGTTGTGTTTCATTTCCTTGTACTGTGATAGATTCCCGCCAGTATTTTAACGATTTCTTCTTCCATTATAGACTGCTTTAAGCTTGTTCTTTCAAGAAGCAGCAATTCCCTGCCACTCACAGCATTCGGTAAGTGGAATTTTCAATTCGTTCTGGCACGTTTTGTGTTGTGTTTGAATTTACGCACGCATGTTGTTGTCGCGACGCTAATGTTTTCATTTAAACCATCTCGTTTATTTTCACAGCTTGTAACGCCGGCGAATACTCCAGCAACTCCACCGAACTTCCCAGAAGCTCTTCTAGCATTTCAAAGACTATCAGCGTCAGATACAAGCTCGAAAAACAGCCAACAAGTTGTCAGATGAAACATTTCTCATTGACCACGCTAACCGTTGTTGTATCATAGTTGTAGAGACACCTTGTCCGCGGGCCGGCAAGGTTTTTGTCGACAAAATATCGTTGATTTCATATAAAATTGATCTTAATATGCACCGTGATCAAGTAATTTATATCGTAAAAGACTAAAAAAGAATCGACAAGTGTCATGGGACATGAATTGGAGGGAAAAAACACGTATAAATTTGATGTTGTAAAATCGACAAACGTAAACATTGGGTAACTATGAATGAGAAAACGAAAATAAGGAAGCACTGGCGATCGCTTTTCAAAAAGACAAAGTATTTAAAGGATTGTAATATACTCATTTAAGGACACTACTACCTTCATATTCAAAGAGTAAAAATCGATCGCCAAATCGGAAAAGATGAGTGGAAAGGAAGTTTAAAACATGTGACAAGGCCATTGACTGGGACGTGAATTCGAAATGAAGTGGGAATTTCTTGTCGATATTTATAAAAAGAAACTTTTTAACGTTAGGTTGTAGACTGTAGCCTAGAAAAACAGTAAAGTGACATTGCATTGTTAAATAATAAATATTAAAGTTGTGTAGAAAATTGGGGCATATACAGCTATGAGTTGTATATACTTGCAATAACCCAAAATTGAAAATGACAGTTGTTTTTTGTTATTATTACGCTGCAGACCTATCGTCTAGTTGTACAATATAAATTTTGTAGTATACTGTAACTACGGTGATTCTATTTAATAGTTTTAAATCGTGCTTGCATAAACGTCAAACAGGAAACTCGTTGAAACAGGCGGACGTTCTAGAATGCTTTCGCTCTTGGCAAACCTCGGGGCATACCATATTATTTTGCCAGAATGTACTGTAGAATTTACTACGCTTATTAATAACGCTTGTAACAGGAAAAATAAAATGAATAAACTTTACTTTTACAGCAAAAACTGAGGGTTTGTTTTACATAGAATGTGTTCCATAGTTTGGTAAATGTGCCAACTGAGTTTGTCTAATGTTACAAAAATAAACAGCCAAAAAACCACTCAAAACAACTTTACAAAAGTTTAAAGTTGTAACTCCACAATGGCGGGAAACCGGTGGTTTAATACAATCCATTGATTTATATAATGCTCGGATTTTTACATGGTACAAAGTCTGTTTACTTTTGTAAAAGAATGCAAATTAGTATTATGCAATAGTGTTATTTATACTTTGGTATTCAAGCTATTTCGTTCAGTACACTGTTAAATTTTGCTATATATTCAGTAATTCAGTGTTTCTGGTAAGCAAGAACATTGCAAAGAGTCTTTTGTTCACTATTCCTAACTACCTTTTCTCAAACAGCTTTTTCGTACGATTTGAACGAGTAAAAATGCCCGGCTTGCTTTACAGTAAAGCCGAAGGAATTAAATTACAAAACGTGTAAATGACTCTGTGTAAACGATGAAATACAATAAGCAAACATTTGTTCAATACAAAGTAAAAGTTTTAAATCGGCTTTCATTTTCGGTTTCATAAAAAGTCTGTATCAAAATGTTTTCACGAATTTAGGGTACTTCCCAAGACAAGAATTACCGGAGTGGAATATTGTGGTTATCGGCGGGAGTTTAGATATTTTAACGAGTGTCTTTTCACAAAACAGAACTTTGCACCGTAGGGTGCTTTATTTTGATAAGTATTTCCGGTCGGCATTAAAATTAAATTTTACACTTTCGTAAAAACACATTGTCAAGCCTATGATTGCTATGAATAACATATATGAATGAAAAGTTACGTATTTAGTGTTATCATATTCCTTCTTTTCGTTTTTATTTGTGCGTGAAAAAATGTCTTTGCCAAGCCGAGGTCTTTGCCAAAGACTTTGGGGGTGGTTTTATATATACGCTTTTCCGTTTTACTTGAGTGCATATATTAAATAACACTTGTTTGTGCCAAGGGCAAAACGGTTTGCCTAGGCCTAGGGTTTTCTTTAAACACAAGAATACGCACATTAATAATATGGGCTATTACTCGTATTAGTTTTGACGAGTTTTGTGTCTAGTTATGACGCAAAGGAGAAGCTAGGGTCGAGCTGAATTAGTTCAAAGATAGGGGTTTTTATTTTTAGTATATAGAATATTGCCCTGGGAGTTACAGTTGAGCAGTTCCTGTGCCTTGTTGACAGCCCCCTCGCACGTGGGGATAGACTGAAAAACACGTGTTGTTTTATTGTTGTTATTAACTCGTTCATAGCTCTTTAATCACTAATGATACTAATTATTTTACCCAACCCTAGCCTGAGTATCAGGTCAGGTTTCTCTTCCTTAAATGCGGGTAGACGGAAGGAAAGATGGCCCAACAGAAACCCCTGTCTGGCTGCATGTAAAAAAGCCAAAATCCAGCTTTTTACCTGATTGGGCTATCAGACAAACAAATCTTTCCAAACAAACCCAACCCTGTCAGCTTATTAAACGAACAGCCTTTTGGATTGCATGCAGGGATGGTGCTGGACCACTTTGAATGGGGGGTGTAAATTAATTTTGCCTAGTCACTGCAACCACTAGCTGGGGAGCAGGGTTGTAGCTGCCCAACATCACAAAAAATTTTCCGGACAACATATTTGTCAATCCCACTTCGTGTTCAATCATTGTTAATATTCCTTCCATTCTTCTCTAATTTTTTCTACCCCCTTTAAAACCGGCCCTGATTGCAAGGGACGGAGAGAACCAGGCAGTTGTTAACATACTGTTCAAGGAACCCATATCAAACAGCCAGTAACTGCATATAGGATATGAGGATTTTTAGGCAGCCCTTTGGATAGAGCTAATGACACTAATTGTTGAAGGGTTTCATAGATGGAATTTTGAGTGTGAATTTTATACATTTATTAGACCTGACTAGGTGCAGTTGTGAAAAATGCAACTATATAGGCCCTCTTGTAGGAGTCAGACCTGTATCATTTTCAGCCAATCACAGAGGTTGTTGATTAGGTATGGCCCCATCTCACTGGGTGGGTTAGGGTTATGGTACAAACCTACAGTAGAGTATGCTGGGGGAGTATGTTTGGGCAGTACTTGATGTACTCTTGTAAAAATGTTCATAATTACAGTAAACATGCATTCAAACCAATTCAACAAAAATTCAAAATTACAAAAGAGTTTTTCACTGTATTTCATTTGCCAGATACACTATATTTACATCATAATACTTGATGAATTGAAGTATACAAAAATAAAGTTTGTGTTCAATAAATTAATTAACCATAAGCTTCTCGACACTTCAATTTCACCTGGAAAGTAAAGATATATATACATTACTTACGAGTCAGGGATATTTACATTTATTCTTGGGGGAGGGGGGCGTGGTGGATATAGTTTGTTGATGTGCTTGTACATGAAGTACCCAGGATAGCGTGATTAAAAATCGAACAGTCTGAAAAACACCAGAAACCTACAGATTGAAAGGGATTGAACAACATTTCAATCGAAGGCCCTTCGTCGAGAAGCTGTGCGTTCGGGTATCTCAATCAGCAGCATTCTAGAATAGTGCGATCTATAGTGGTAATGTTTCTGGGAACAAACATGCCTGATAGTTTCATTATATCATCGTAGACAAGAAATTGTCATCAATGTCTCAGATAATTTGTCGGGATATTTTATCTTGTGTTTATACTATAAATGATGGAACATCTGGGATGAATTATCAGATGAACCATCTGTTTTACCTAAGCTGCCAAAATCAATTATCCATCTTTATAGTAGAAATCGGGCAAGAATATATACATATATATATTCCCAAGATAGACTTAATTGACTCTAAAAAGATAAATATTTACCAAATCAAAAACTTCAAATAATTGCAATAAATTCTAATCATCGTCGTCATCATCAGGGACAAATATATTCCAATCTTCTAGCAAAGACGCAGATATTCTCGCCATTTCAGCCCCGATGTAGACAGTAGGTATAGTTATAGCAACACATTTTGTTAAACCCAGAGAAATTCGATGTGGCAAGGAGTGAAAAGCCCCAGAGGATGAAACGACTTGTTGAGCCGTTGGTAAAAACGGCAGACGCGAGCTTCGTAGCCTGTGTAGAATCATTACAGCTGAAGTAGTCATCGTTTATAAGGAATCTGTCTTTTTCTTGGTAAAAGCTATTCTGTGGTTTGGATAATTTGACAACAAATTGGATTACAAGATTTTGAAAGATTGTTATTTATAATTTTCATGCGAGTTTTTTTCGTGCAATTTTTTACACACCTTTCAATCCCGCGAGCAAGCGACAATTCCTTCGCGAGAATTCTGAAATTCCTTAATTTTTCCCCTAAACTAGAATTCCTTAGAGAACTTAAATTATGCAAAATTCCTGATTTTAAGGATAAGCTTGCTAAAAGCTTGGAGTTCGCCCACGTACACGCGTGATTATTTAGTCTATTTATCACGAAGTTTTTCTT